TATTAATAATAATAATAAAAAAAATCAAAATCACTTTAAACTTGAAACTGAGAGCCTAAATTCGAACAAAAAGCAATCCTATCAGCCAAAATAATATATAATGATGTAAATACAAAATAAATAAATTTAATTATATCACATTATTTATTGGAATTATCTCTTTTAAGGCACAGTTGTTCCATTTATATAATTGCATCATAAAATAAATTAATAATTAAGTTTCATAAATAAATATAATTTATAATAAAAACAATTCTACCTTCAGTAATTTCAAAATCAATTTGTTTAGTTTCATAAGCTATATATTTAAACATATACATAAGTAATTTTAATATGGATTATAATAGAGATCTTATTAGGAATATAGAATGGGTTAACTTACCATGTTGCTCTATAAAAATGCGATGAAAAAAAAATAAAAAAAAATAATCAATAAAAATATAAAAATAAAATCAATAAAAAAATGATAAAATTTGTAAAGACCCTGTTGTTCCATTTATATAATTGCATCATAAAATAAATTAATAATTCAGTTCATAAATAAATATAAATTATAATAAAAAATAATTTTACCTTCAGTAATCTCAAAATCAATTTGCTTAGTTTCATAAGCTATATATTTAAATATATAAGTAATTTTCATATGGATTAAGATAGAAATCTCATTAGGCATATAGAATGGGTTAACTTACCATGCTGTTCTTCTATAAAGATGCGATGAAAAAAATAAAAGATAAAAAAAAAATAATTAATAAAAATATAAAAATAAAATCAATAAAAAAAATGATAAAATTTGTAAATAATTACCGTCGGTGGCATTCTTTGGTTGAATGGAAAAATTGAATGTATGTACATTACTGGTTTGAGTTTTATAAATTTTGATTCCTTTGCTTTCATTGGATTTATTATTTTTAATCACTTTCTTATCTTCATATAATGACTTTAAAAATGACTTCATTTTTACATTAAGTGTAATTATATCAGGTCTATTATCAGGATTAGCATCCCAACATTTTTTCATCAATGTTGCATATTCTAGTGGAATATCTTCATAGATCTTTGGTCGATATCCTGAAACTATAGCTAAAGCTAAATGTGAATTATTTTATTATTCACGGTCACCATAAGGAGTTTCACCAGTTATTACCTCCCACATTAAAATACCAATTCTAAATATATCTGATTTTGTTGTATAAATTTTTCCGCAATAAAGTTCGGGTGCAATATATGGGAGATTCCCATATATACTATCTAACGGTTTGTCAACTGACACACTAACCCTAAATCACTAATTTTCCATCGCAAAGAATGTGCATGATATAAAATATTTCCTGAGTGCAAATCTCTATGCACTATATTTTTATGATGAATTTTTTTTAAACTACATGTTATCTCATAAATAATTAAACATTTTTCTAATAATGTAAGTGCTTGATAATTATCTTTTAAAAAACGTCTTAAATCATTATAATAATACTGTAAAACTAATATATAATCATGTGTGATTGGATCTTTAGTCAACCCAAAACACTCAACAAGTCGATGAAAAGTATTATCAAGTGCTAAACTTAATGTCGTCTAATAATTGTATGTAAATATATTGTATGAAAATTTAATCAATATTTCTGAAAATTAAACAAAATTAACAAATATAAGATTGTAATTAAACTTACTTCTTGGAACCAATATATGTTATCGTTATTTGAATTATTTAGTTTTTTAAGAATAATTTTTCGTCTTCCCAATCTTTCTAATATTTGTTTTTCGGCT